GGCCCGGGTTCGATCCTCAGCACCACATACAAACAAAGATGTTGTGTCCGCCGAGAACTAAAAAATAAATATTAAAAAAATTCTCTCTCTCTCTCTCAAAAAAAAATATTAAGGAAGATTCTCAGGTTTGGRGCAATGGAATATGGTCAGGATGGAGATCACCAAAAGCCACAARGAGCAGGGCACTTTCAACCTACTCGTTCCCTGGTAGGAGTCTTTGGCTAAAGGAGAATGATGTGGCCCAGCCAGCCCTCCCTCAGGGCTCAGCCTCAGGGTGTCTCTGGGGCGAGGGAGCCTCCTGTGAAGTGAGGGCTGGGGTGTTGGGGAGGCCCAGTGTGTGGTCATACTGTACTTGGTGATGCCACCCCACCTAACACAGTGACCTCTAGGTCTCTTCCCAGTGCATGACAAGGCCAGGCATCAGGAACTCCTCAGCGCCCCTCTGGCTGTGTGAGCCGACGGGCCCAGTGGAAAGAGCACTGATGGCATCAGAAGACCCATGTCCTGGTCCTTGTCATGAATCAAACTTACGTTCTGCACTTAAGGACACGAGGTAGTGACACACCAAAGTAACACACCAACTGCCACGTGTGAGCTTCCCAACAACACACCCAGGGACGGGGACTATTGCCAGTTCTGCAGTCAGCAAAGTTAAGCCACGCTGCTGAGCCAGGTCTTGATGTGTTTGGGGAAATATGTTGAAGTCCAATATTTAGCCTCTAGCTTTTCTGTTGTGACCTTGGATAAGCTACTTCACTCTCCAAATCTCTCTTTCTTCATCTTAAAAGGAAAGCAATTGAGGAGTGACATTGACATGTCCCTCAGACTCAGCAGCCCATTGTTTCTGGATTATCCCCTTTTGAGGTGCCCTTCTTTCTATATTTTCCAAGCAGTTATGCCCTCTCCCAACTCCTGCCAAGTACGATTCTATTCCTTCAGAATGACAAAGCTCGCCTCTGTGAGCCAGATTSCCAGCACAGTTCACATCCCTCCCACGCCATCGTCTCCAAACAAATAAACGTACATTAACAACTGGACCAACTGAAAATAACCAGAGACTCCCTCCAAGTACTTCCAGGATGTTCTCCTTATTGTTTAAGAAGAATCAGTCTACTATTTGCCTATTTCTTGAAACTATGCCCTAACACCAGTGTCTCGCTCCTGCCAAATTGAATATTGCCTAAGCAAAGTGTATTTGATTTTTTGAAGTAAGTCAGATGGAGAGATGGAGAGTTGAGATGAACAGATGGATAGATTAATGGATGGATGGATGGAGAGGTGAAGGGATGGCTGGTTTCTGGGTAGATGGTAGCTGACTAAGTGGATGTACAGAAAAATACAGAGGCATGTATAGACAAATGTAGGTAGATACATACAAAGTTGGGTAGATGGGTGATTGGATAGATGGAGAGATTGCAGAGACAGATTGACACTTAAATAGAAATAAGCAGACTTAGATGGAATAAAAGATACGCACTCAGTGCCATCTTCACCACTTTGCACTGTGATTCGGGAAGCTCCTAGTGTGGGCCGGAAGAGATTTATCACGTTGTTGTTCCAGAGGAACTTAACCTTCTGGATTTCTCCAACATTGAGCTTCACATCAATGTCACGCACGTGGATTGCATCTGGTTTGAGGGATCCCCTGGAAAATACAAAGATAAAATGTTTTATCTATGAATACATAGGACAGATAAATCTATTATTCCTCCAAATAATAGCTGCTGTCATTGGTTTTCTGCAAAAAGATGACTTCATGCATATCCTGGGTTTGCCCCCAAACACACGTTTTTGCAATATGCACTTTTTAAAAAGATTTGACTTTAATTTTCCATTATTTTAATTTGTCCCTGGAGAGAAGTAAAATATTTGGAGACATAATCTATAAGTTTGCTACAGAACAGCTGATGCAGTGTCTTTTGTTTAAAGATGCATGTGGTTCAGTTTAGACAATGTCGACACATCATATGAAGCACATGAAGTTGTCAAAGAAGTTTAACTCACATGCTGAGTTTTAAAAGTTAGTGCAAAAACAGAAGCTGATTTCACCACATAGGTTATGCATGCATTCAACACCTATTTACTAAGGTCCTCATTTATCCAGTATAATCCAAGAGCCAAGGCCACCACAGCAACAAGCAGGTGTCCCCAGGCTTCATGCATACCTGTGTGTGGGGGACAGAGCATGTGTTAGAGAAGGAAGAATTGTCACATAGATGGACCTGACCCCAGGAAAACTTCAAGTCAGGTGATTGACATTCCAACAAAGGTTAGCACATGACTTATTTCAAACAGTGAATCCCCTCTCTCTGGGCATCACTATTCTCATATGGAACATGGCATGATTGAGTTAGATGCAAAGACTTTCTTCCAGCTCTGATGGTCTAGAATCCAATGGTTCTATAGGATAGATACTTGGGTTTATACATCCGTTTATTCCCAAACTTTTATGCACAGCCTATTTTGAAAAGTACGACCATTTCACTTTACTTATAACTTACTTGAACACCTCATATTGTTCTGTGTTTCCGTTACTTCCATACAGAGCAATCCTGATGTGCCCGCTCACTTTCTTTTGTCCAGATAGTGTGACTGATACCTTATATCTCCAACCTGTCCAAAGAAATACAATCAGCTCAATAAACTTATCTTATTGAAATAAACTTATTGAAACAACGATCCAACAGAAGCAAATGAATCCATCAAGCCCTGAATTCCTCAGGAATTAGAGGGAAGGGGCCCTGTGACTATTGATTTCCTTTGGTGGAATTGGGGTCCAGGAATTCAGATTCTGGTTGAGGTGTGGAGACCCAGAAGGCAGAAAGCATTAGAGTTTAGCACAAGAAAGCACATGCCCTCAGGAATGAAGGGCAACCTGTCACTGTACCTGACTCATGAGGCAATGGACTCAATGGTTATGTTCCCCCAAATCCATATGAAACCCTAACACCTGACATGACAGTATTAGGAGAGAAGGCCTTTGGGAGATAATTTGATCAGGATAGTGCGGCCCTCATGAATGTGATTAGTGCCCTTATAAAAAGAATTCCAGAAGGTTCACTCGCCTCCTTTCCACCATGGGGAAGAAGACAAGAAGCTGGCAGTGTGCACCAGAACCTGACCATATGGGCAGGCTCATCTCAGACTTCCAGCCTCCAGGACTGTGAGAAATTAATTTCCATTGTTTCTAAACCATCCAGGCTGTGATATTCTGTGGTAGCAACCTGAACTGACTAAGACTTTGGATTCCWTGCTGTTTTGCCACTTGCTTTTTCACTTCACAGACCTTAGAGGCTTACTCTTGTCAGTACGTGGAACTATATCCTTTTTCTCAATAGCTATATGTAGCATTTAATCTATAGCAATTTGTTATTTTTCAATTCGTGGACATTTAGAATTTCCCCTCAATCTTTTTTTTTTAATCAATGCTACAGTAAACACCTTTGAACAATTCTTATGCACTGTGATACATTCTGAGAATCAGGTGTTTGGGCTAAAGGTATAAGCACGTAGGACTTTATAGATACTGCCAAGCTAGTATCTTTTATGGAAAATATAGGATTGCATGAAATACTCCATATAAAAAGTGTTTTATAAAGTGCTATATTATTCCTTTGAATTTAAAACTCCCTTGGAAAATAAGGTTTTTCTCTTCAGGCATAATATAATATTACTTTTACAAAATTAATCTTGATGTTTTTACCATCTTATTCCTTTTTAATGAGAAGCGGAGCAAACAACAACCACCACCACAACAGTGTGTGTGTGTGTGTGTGTGTGTGTGTGTGTGTGTGTGTAGGAGACTAGTTTGACAATTGTCACTGCAGTGACTTCTTGACTTAAAATGACATTGCCTCATGGTGACTGCTTCTTTTGATAATGGATGCAGCCTTCCTAACACATGCATGGGTGGACGAGGTGACTAGCCAGAGTCACTCACCACATTGTGCTCGGCAGCTGTTCGGGATTATTGTTAAAGGGGTGAGCATGAGATGCAAGTCAAGTGCCATTCTCCTGTCTTTACATTATAGCATTCAGCTTTCAGTCTGAAAGGGGGAATGCAAGTCGATCCTTGAGGGRGAAGTCAATGGGAAAGATGGTTTCTTTCAGTTGCTACCATGACTAATATGGCTGGTACACTTTTTAAAATTTTTTTGCAAGAAGTTTTAACTGAGGAAAATGGAAACTTACGGGTAAAGTTACCACTGTCTCCTGTATTCAGAAAAAAGGTTTGTTCCACAGCGCTGGTTTTCCCCTTAAATTGGTCAGCATAGTGCCCCATTTTGGGACATCCTCCAGATGGACAAGGGAAACAGCCATCCTATGGGAAAAACATTGTCTGTTAGTAGTAGGTTTTTGCCTCATTCACTCTCTCCATGAACCCATTTTCTCATCTATTACTATCTCCTCTTATAATTATTGATACTTGTACCTATCCACRTCCTACCCATCCTCTCATTCACCCTTCTATGCTTCCAGGTGGCCATCCACTCTTCTCTCCCACTAATCCATGCAAGCAGGCATCTTCTACCCAGGCTCCCACGTTCCCATGCATCCATGCATCCGTCCTCAGGTCTGTGCATAGAACTGAGCTAGGCCTGTACAGCACCCAGCAGGGCACCTTGGAATCCCAGAGCATAGCTTCAAGACGAGCCATACATGAGAAGTAGTGACATTAAAGTCTGAAAGGGGAAATGCAAGTCGATCCTGAGGGAGAAGTCAATGGGAAAGATGGCAAGTTATTTCAGATGAAAAGAGGAAACAAAGACCCATGCCCATTTTCATTTTTTAATATGAGTTATTTCTCTGGATTGATTCATCCCCGTGTGGTGCTTCCCAGGAGCTCATTAACTGGGCCTTCAAATCACGTGAGCGCTTTATGGCGCAGCATCACCAGCCTCTGTTCTTTGCCCTCATATTGCACCCAAAATTCATGGTGTGCAGAGCAATTTCATGATTTGGGAAGCATGAAATAGTTACAGAAGACCCCATGGCCCACCAGAGCTGCTCTCAGAACATTCCCCAAACTTGGGGATAAGACATGAGGTCCTTTTGGTCATAGTGCATCTCAGTATGCCAAGATCAAAATTTGTTTTGAAAGGAAAAAAAGATCTAACTTTAAGCACATTTTATTTTTATCTTTGAGAAGAAAATATTTTAAAGTATCAGAGTTTTGCATCTTGCAATGTAGTAATTGATTCAGGTGCAGATCTTCCATAGGAACCCAAAAGTTCTGCTGGTTTTATTGTTGGGAAACAATATCTCCTATAAATTATTTAAGGGAAATAGTACTTTAATAATACAGAAATCTGGAAGACACTACCTTAACCAGGTAATCAAAATTGACATCATCAAACAAAGTTGGGTTAAGCAGTGCCTTTGATTGTGATTCACTGAGAAGGACCTAATATCGCCTGTTGAATCACAAAGAAATAATCAAACAATTTCAGAGTGTGATATTTAATCAAATACCTGGGTTGGAGTTATCATGATTCCACATCCCAGAAGACCAGGAAAAATGGGAAACTGCTCCCGATTAAAGGAGTCTACAGAGACAAAGCAATAAATCAGAGGCAAAAAGAGGAAGGAAAAGAAAGACTGAGGAAGGAAGAAACGAAGGAAGGGGAGGAAGTGAGAAAGGAGAAAGACAGAGAGGAAGGGAAGCAAAGAAAGAGAGAGGGAGGGAGGGAGGGAAGAAGGCAGGTACAGCTCTGGAGGACATTGTTTAGATAACTGAAGAAGTTTAATATGGGTTATATGGTAGAAATTGTGCATCAAGTTAAATTTCTTGAATTGAATTAGGAGGATGATGATGCTCTTAGTAGATGAATGCTGACACTTGTATGAGCAAAGTGTCCGAATATGTTCAATTTATTTACCCATCATTCAGGAACAAAGACACACACACGCACACGCACACAGAGCATTAGCAATTGGTGCGTCTAGGTGATAGGTGTAACAGTCTTCCTGTGCTCTTCTTCAACTCTGTGCAGGTTGGAGACTGTCCTAAATGAAAAGCTGGGGACCCCGGGAGGACCCAGCACGGCCAGCTGTACTTCTGCCCTGCAGCCTGCCCTGCCCCATAGGACAAAGGCTTTGGAAGCTTGGGCATTTCCATTACTCCTGCCCATGAGTGCGGAGTTACATGTATCTCCTTGTTCTGTTCTAAGTCATAGGGGTGGAACCAACACCAGAGCCACAGCATCTTCCTAGCCCTGGGTGCCCTACCTTCTGGAACTCGTCATAGGAAGCACAGGGGTAGCCCAGGAAGCCGTCGGGGTTGAGGATGCTGCTTCCATAATACTTGTAGCTTCGTAGGTGGTTGCAAGCTGCAAAGTTGCGGGTTCCTGAGAAAGCAGAGGCCAGAGAGCTGGAGGAGGCCTTTCGCTTTTGAAGCGTGGGCCATTCCACGGCACACCTTGTGCCTCCACGTTGCATGGATGGGTGGGGCACGCCTCAGCACTTTGGGACATATTAGGAGGGTTGCTCAGGACCAGGCAAGCGTTGAAGAGTGACAAGTCCTAACAGGCACGTTTGTCCAGTGCTCCAGGGRCTAGAATATAACATAAATGAGGAAGCTGGGGCCAGGTGGGGGTGGGCAGGCAGAGACAGAGAGGGCAGAAAAATTCAGAGACAGAGAGAGAAAGAGACATAGAAACAGTATGTATATTTATATATAATGAGAGAAAAAGATAGGGAAGAGAGAGAGAGAGAGACAGACAGACAGACAGACAGACAAATACAGAAGATAATAGCTTTCAGAGGAGCCACGTAGCCCAGCTGGTTGTTACAAGTTAAAGACCTGATTGCTTGGTCTTCTGATTTTTCACAAGAATCTTGAGTTTTACACAAAAACCTTTCCATGCTTCACTGATGACAGTGCATTCCCATTGTAACCAAGTCCCCATGAAGGCCATCCACACTGCTGTGGCCACACATAAGGACACTGGACCACACCTGACCTTGCCCTTGAGCCCACCTTTTCTGTGTCTAATTGCTCAGGCTAAGCCACCTCTCGTCTTCACTATGCTGAGCACCCTGCCATTCTTTCACGGCCTTTTATTTACCACCTTTAAAAACAAGCAAACAAACTCATCTTGTTTGGAAAATTGATTTTTCATTTCTCCAGCTACTTGGTTTAAAACTTCCCACGGAGCACTCTGCAGTGACCCTGGACACACCTGGGGACCATTCTCGGGGGTCTGGTGGGCTTTATGCGCCACTCCTTGGAAGGCACATCCCCTTTGAGCCAGGGTGGCTTCACTCTTGCAGGTCCCAGCCCTGCTGCACCCACTGCCCAGTGCCCTCCAGCCGAGCCAGCCAGTCCCCAGTGCCCAGTGCCCTCCAGCCGAGCCAGCCAGTCCCCAGTGCCCAGTGCCAAGGCCAGCGCTCCTCAACAGACAACAGAACCTGCTTTAAACTTAATTGTTTCTTTCATCCAAAATTGCTGCCCGGGGACCCGTAATAGAGGAGAAAGTGGATTTAATTGTTCCCAGGGCCCAGCACCTGGGCAACATGAGCTCCACACAATAGAAGCCCACTCTAGCGCTCACGGGCTTGTTCACTCTAAATTGCCTCTTTAATTAAACCTGGGCTCCTTCCTATTATGTGTGCCCTGCTCGTCATTTCTGGGAGGGGGCAGCTATTATTGTGACTCTAGGGTTCCTTCAGGGAGAGTGGAATGGCCGCGTCTTCCTAACAGTTACCTGGTGCGGAGCTGAGAGCTCAAAAGCTCCTCTGGGTTGCCAGGCGAGGCTGGCTGTTGCTTTATTGACTCTGCTCTTTGACATTAAGCACATGGAATATTAAAATGCCAACCCAAGGCCATTTAACAGAGTGTGTACAGTGCCCTCTTTGGCTTGGGCCCTGAACAGGGTACTGGAGTATCTGGGGTGCCTGAGAAATAGTTCTTAGCTATGGGGAAYTTCTAGTTCAAAAAAATAAAGCCTCCTCTTTCAGGGAGAAAAGTAAAGCCTGGTCTTTGGAAAGGGGCAAGTGGAATAGCCAAAGGTCAGGACATGGGAGGTCACCTAATGTCAGGGGTAGGGATTCTGCTCTCCTAGATGAACACAGGAGATTGCCAAGATCCACCAGGGGTCCCCCAGACCTCTGGCCTACCCTGCTCTGCTCCACGGCCTAAACCCACAGAGGACATCCCTCCTCCTTTTATCATCTCATCTGCTTCTACTCTTAGGACCTGATAACAGCAAACAAGAAAGTCAAGACTTCCAGATCTTTGCTTATGATCTGTGGTATTTCCAGAAGCAAGTGCAGAAGATAGGATCAGTGGCCAAAGCCAGAGCGGAGTATTTGCCAGCGTGCCCATCCAGCTATTGTCCCAGCATCCTGACAGCTGGGGGAAGGGCCACAGGCTGGATGAACACAAGGCTTTGCAGTTAGAAAATGGGCTGAAATATAAGGTAGCCTGGGACAAGCTAGGTAACTCTTCTGATTCCTAGTTTGTGCATCTGTAAAATGAAGTTACTCCGATTAAGTTTCTCTTGGCATTATTGTGAAAGCACCTGGCACAGAGCGAGCACTCCACAATGGTGGCAAATTAAGCATCATGGTGGCCAGACCCACATATTCTGCCTTCACCCCAATATAGCAGTTGCTGCTTTCATTTACATACCTTCCCATAGTCCATCTATATCAACGATGGTTGAAAGGATATTTTTCTGACATCCAGGCATTTGCCTTCCTCCATTTGGAAAGAAATCCAGATGGCCCACCTTTTGGCTCATTCCAAAACCTGAAACATTTGAAGCAGAGGTGAACAGGGAGGTTAGTGGTATAAAAGTTAGATCATGGCCAAAGTGAGATGTTCAACTCATTCTAACAAGAGTGAAAGCCTTCTGGTAAATTCTCTCCTCAGCAGAGCTACCACTACCTCCAGCTCTGCAGAAAGATCTGAGAGATGGGAGCTTGGCAGGATGGGGAGGGAGGAGAGAGAACAGGAAGTGAGATGGGAGGGTGGGGGGAGTGTGCACACATACATTTGTATGTGTATCTGTCTGTCTGTCTTGGGGAGGCCCTGGATAATACCAATATTCCCTGATAACATTAAGCACCAATAGGCACATATCAGGTACAAGTTGTATTTCTTTATTTATTTTAAAAATTTGGTTTCTACATTAAAGTGCTTTATTGAGACCACATAATAGTATATTGTTCTCTTGAGAGCCGAGGTACAATGATGAGACGCTGTGCTTCAGAGGCACAAAGACCTGTGATCAAAGCCTACTTCTACTTACATGACTTTTGATCTTGGGCAATTACTTAATCTTATTGATCCTCAGTTCCTCAGTTGTGAAATAGTGATAATATCTACATTTTGGGTATTATAGAATTAATGGGCTAATACTATAAGACATCCAGTGCAGCACATGGTAAATATTAGTTAAGTGATGATATCATCGTCGTCATGATCATCATCATCTTCACCACCATTAAAAACACACCCTATATTGGCAAGTGTCATGAATGGTTATATAAAAATATTGGAAAAAAGATGCTGATTTTAGAAGAATTAAACAAAGACACAGTTAGTCTCCAATAAAACAAGCCATAACCAAACTTTGAGAAAAGAAAAAAATTTCAAAAATTAATTTTGTGTTTTGTAGGTATAGGTCAAGTGTCAATTATAACACAATTTCCATTGTGGATCTTGGTAGATTGGGAAAGGACATGGTTCAAGATTGAGTTAACTATTTTGAAAAGTTTGTGTGTATACTGGGGGTGGGGACTGCTTGGACTCAATGTCTTCAGTCTTAGTGCTGGTCACCAGGAAGTGAGACTGAGGAACTCACCTAGGAAAGGGACTATGGGAGCAATATCCGTGTGAATCACATCCACAAACATGGCGTCCGATGGGTCCAGCCGAACCTCCTCAGGTGTGCCCTGGAAACATGGCTCTGCTGGATCCAGCCCTGAAAAGGAGAAGGTGGACAGGCTGTACTCTGACAAAGACCAGGATCTACACCTTGCACCCACCAACTGGGCGTGAGGAGTCTGGGCAAAAACCCAGTGGCTATCAGTCAGGGGACTGGGTCTATAGCTCCTGGTCTGCTTGGGAAAGAGAGGCTGGAACTGCCTGTTGAAGAACAACTGGAATTCTCCAGTGCCTGGGTCTATGAGGGCTGGGTGGGGCCCTTGTGCTCCTCATTTCTCTCTCTTTTTTAAATTTATTTATTTTTATTAGTTACACATGACATTACAATGATCTTGGCAATTCATACATTTGAATCATTGGGGTATAATTTCTCATTTTTCTAATTGTACAGATTGCAGAATCACACTGGTCATAGTTCATTTCTCTTTTCCTGTTTTCCCACACACATTACCATTTGGCCATTGCTCTGAGACGGTGTGTTCCCTGGCCTCACCCAATTATTTCCAGTCCCTGAAACCCCACACTTATAAGCCTTTGTGCCTTTTCTCATGCTGTCCCCAGTTCTGTGTGCCCATCCCCACATTCTTCCTTCATTTAAACCTTTCTGCTCTGAAACTCAGCACCAACACCACAGTCTCATGGAAAACTCACCCTCTCCTTTCTCAGACCATTCTAGACACTGTATTATTTTGAACTTGTTAATTTTGCTTTGAATTTTATTTGCCTGCTTAGTTTTCTGCTTCCTGAACCGGAATGTGGTTTTCCTGAAGCAGGGGCTGTGCCCAGTTCATATTCAAAGAGAAGCAGAGGGTGGGGGTGGGAGAAGTGTGGCACACGGTGACCTATATTCTTGCCCTGGTTCTTTTAAAGGTCGAATGTCTGTCCTCATCCAGAAGGTGGGAATATGGACATCTCTCTTATAGGGTTATTGTGAAACCCCCGGGAAAAGGTATAAAGGAAAGGATTTTGTAACCTGAAAAATTCTATATAACTATTAACTAATACCCTGCCATAATTCCCTCAATTCCTCACACAGTGCCTTGAGCAATGGGGACACTCATCTAATGTTGAATCAAACTGACAGCCAGAGTTACACACTAATTTGGTTGCCCAAAATAAATAGTTGTCAGTGTCTGTCTTTCTTGGTAGATTTATTCTAGGTAGTGGTTCACTCACTTACTCACTCATTCATTCTTTATTAAGCACTTCCTTTGTGGCAAGTCTCAGCTACCTACTTTCATTTCCTGTCTGTGCCAAACACAGCCAAAATATTCAAGGACTGTTTGTGGAACCAATGAATATTTTTTTTWAAAAAATCATCTCAATTTTTTTTCCCCCAACTTTGTCATACTCTAGCAATAATAACCCCGGAATCATTGGTTTAATGTACTATTTACATTTTTCTTGTTTTACAAATTCATTTTAATCTGCAGTCATCTGTTTTCTAATACACGTTAAGATACACGGACGATCATTTTAAAATTTAAGTCCGTGGCGTCACTTAAAGAGTTGGCTAGTGGGGGACCAGTAAGGGTGACCATCACCAAGAGAAGGGCCTGGGATGGAGGTTTCTGCTGCTCGCTGCCCGCTGCCCGCTGCCCGCTGCCCACACCCTGGGTCTTGGGACCCAGGTCGTTCCACATGACCCCTACCTGTGATCCGGCCCACGTGGCCCCCCAGCCTCCTGCCCGCCTCCGCGGCTATGTGCGCGCCCAGGCTGTGGCCGATGAGATGCACGTCCTCGGGGCTGTAGTCCAGCTGCGTCTGCGGAGGGAGAGCKCGTCAGGGGACCCCAGGACCGCGTGAGGACGCGTGGATCGGGCAGGGGACTCAGGTCCCTGCCAGGGTGGCGGGCGGGACCCAGCTCAGAACTGGGGAAGAATGACCTGCCACTGGAGGTCGCAGCCTGGGGCAGCGCGACAGCGGGGGGGGGGGGGGGGGGGGGGGGGGGGGGGGGGGGGGGGCGCAGCCTGAGAGCCTGAGTCCCGCAGGCGACGGTGCGCGCGGCAACAGTGCTGACCAGCGGCCGCCGCGCCAACTGCAGCCGCCGCCCCTGGACGGCCGGCTACCACCAGCGCCCACCGCAGACCCTGGTCCCTGGCCGGGTGGCGGGCGCCTGGGGGTGGGAACCGGCTCTCCATTCCTGCAGAAGCGGCCTAGGGCAGGTGTAAAGGGCCTTGCCCGCGGGCTGCAGGAGCAGGAAGACTCATCTTCCCCGAGGCTGGAACTGCTGGGCAGCCCAGGCTGCTCTCCAATTCCCAGAATAGCCTTTCAGGAAGGGGGTATTTCGAAAGGGGAAACTGAGGTTGGAAGAGATTAGTCTCCCCAGACTCCGCAGCTAGGAAATGATGGGTGCTGCGACTTTAGGACAATCAGCAAGGGAGGAAGGGGGCGGCCAGATTTCAGGAAGAGACTGAGAACCTGGGCCACTTGTCTTGCAGCCCCTATCTGCGGCCCCTATCTGCTGCCTTGGGTACAGTGGAGTGCTTCCCGACCCCCTCGCTCTGTCCCACCCCCGGGACCGGGCCCAGACAGGGTTTTACCGAAAGCACTTGGACTAGGTAAGCGATCTCCGCCCCCACGACCCGAGTGTTGTGGACCGCTTGTGTGTATGTGGTGCGCGACCCTCTCCTCCAATCCACACAGATGCAGTTCACCTCCTCCACTTGAAACATTTTCTGGAGAAGATGAGAGGAGAGAGAAAGAGAGAGAGACTCTGACCAATTTATCAACAGTTCCAAGTTGCACACCCCAGAGATATGAATCCAGGTCCATCAAGTACCAGGTTGATGTCAGATGTTAACATTCCTCCTATCGGTTGGTTGTGTCCTAAGTTGACTCACAGGGCAGCACTATGAACTGGACACACTCACCCTGCTTAACATATGTGGACACTGAGGCCTGAAATGGGCAAGTGTCTGGTTTAATATTTTTCAGATGGTTATTGACACAGCCAGATCCAGAAGGTCACTTCCTAGATCAAGTACAAGTAAGCTACTACCCAATAAAATTTACAACTCAGTTCCTTGTTGGCCTTGCCACATATGGAGTGCTCAATACCACAAGTAGGAAGTGGCTCTTGATGTGGACCTCACAACTATAGAACATGTCTGTCGTCACAGAACATTCTGTGGGATAGCAGTGTTTTAGAGGTCAAATTTTAATCATTTTTTAAAATGTTATGTTGGGTTTTATATCAACCATCAAAGACACAGCGTGGGCTACTTGACTTGTGGGTGGTTGTGTAGCCTTCACTCTGAGACTTTTTGACTGGACTCTGGGTTTCTTCAGCCGCAGAAGTTGATGGATAATGAGAAGTTGGCAATGAATACCCAGATAACCATGTTTCCCTGGGTGTTTTTAGAAAGATCCCCCTCTCTGGAGTATTTCCTTTCCTCGTTTCAGGGGCATCAGGGGTACAGAGTTTGAATGTGTGTGCGGGGTACTGGACTCACCAGGAGGTGGCCAGGTGAGGAAGGTGGGCCCTTACCCTGCACGTGTCCGGCAGCCAGTTCTCCTCCCCCTTGTCTATGAAGCCGTGGATAATGAAGCGTGTCTTGCGGTCCAGTCGGAAATTTGAAGCATCAATGGTGTTTGGGTCAGCAGTGATCAGCTGGAAAAGTAGAAAAGATGAATTCAATCKTTAAGTCCTCCCAAGCTGTGGGACTGCTACAGCCAGTCCTGGAGAGTCCAAGTTCACAGACTCAACTCCCATGACACCCAGATGGGACTAGAAAGAGTTCCTGACCTGGGATTATGGCTAGAATTCCTCGAGTTCTTACTTTTTTTTTTTTTCTATTTTCATGAACCTTGAACCCAAATCTAACATTTCTATGACTCATGAGGCCAAGCAACAAACCACAGTGGAATTAGCAGCACCTGTGACTCTGTCCCCAACTGAAGTCACAGACATTTTTATATCACAGGAAAGTTGTTTCATATATCCTCAAGTGTCATTTGGACTCACTATTATAATAGTTAATAAATCAACCCGTAGATCTCCTTATTTAGTGAAATAAAAAAGCAGCATATACAATATATACTACCCATATTTATATATTTTTTAATGTTTTGATAAGTCCTTTTCAACATACCAGGCCCACTTCCACCAATCACCAGGACCAGACACCAGAAGGATCGCATAATCAAAGTGACACAACAACCATGTCTAAACAGATTCCAGGCCGAGGGCACCCCGTGGGGAATTTGTGGTGTAGAATCCCACAATAATGACCTCAGGGACCTAAAGACAGACACCTGTTCTCTAGAGCAGTGAGCTGCATGAATTCTTAGCAATGTCTTCCYTGAAACTGTCGCCTGGTCCCTTCTGACCACCTGGAACAAGCCTGTCCTGCTTCCACCTGGCAGACCTTCTGGCACTACAGTTTGCTTCAGGGATGTCACTTTTTCTCTTTTGTGGTTAATCGTCCCYTTTCTGATTGTCTTCTTGCTCCTCAGGAAGGATTTATACCCTCTTACATCCAAACCTAAGGGGCTTCTATCCCTCCACTGCCCATTTTTCTGGGATACACGTGGCTTCTCTGCAGATGCTGCTCACATCCTCTTCCTCCCAGGGAACAGGGTGCTGGTGCTGGATGGCCCCTGAAGGTCTATGCAGCGGTGTATGTGGGAAGGAGTATGTTTCTAGGTTAGGCTTCATGATTTCACATGATTTCATCACATACTCTGGGATTTATGATCTCTACAGTCAAGATGGCTCTAGGTCTAACATTAGGGGTGCAGTAGCTTCTGGAAAGTTCCAGGACAGTGAATTGAATTGTGCTCTAGAAATCCATGTGACCATGTGGAGCCCCAACCTCCCTCCCCCATGATGTCATTCCACCCCCCACTCTTACTTGGTAGTTGTCCGGATTTTCATTTGTGTGCAGAAGAAAACGGGTGCCAATGTCTTCTGGAGACCAGGGAAATATCTTTAAAGGCCGCTGAAGGGTCCCTGCCCAAGGTTTATCATTGGAAAAGCAGCCAAAGGGTTCATAGCAGACCTCTTTCCCTGGGGTAGGAAGAGCCACAAACAGGACACTCATGAGGTTCTGGGAAGGAGCGATGTCATGTCCACCCGGGGAGACTCCAGGATGAGTCCCAGGGCTGGCTAAGGTTGATCTTCATTTGAGCAGTGTCTCCAGGCGCTCTGGATGAATATGTATGTCATGTGGTGTACACATCCCTGGGCCCTCCTTCGGAGAYTCTTATTCAGAGGGTTCTGGAGTGGGACCCTCATCATCAGACAGGCCGGGGAATCACAACCAGTGGCCTTCAAACTGTCTGGTGCAGGAAGAGCCCAGCTGGCCTTTTGCACATTGGGTATTGTCTAACATCAAGTATTTATCAAGTGCCTGTGAGCTCTGTAGCCCAGAGGTGCTCATCTCAGCATGTGACACCTAGCACAGGCCACCACTTGCTCCTCAGAGGGATGGTGACAGCATCCTCACCTCTGACAGTGGCCAGCAGGAGAAGGCCGAGGGTCCAGGAGGGCAGCATCTGCATGGGAGAACACAGACACACTCACGCCCATGGGCACGGGTGGAAGGCTGGCAGGGAAGAGCCCAGACAGGACAGGAACCCTAGATGCACCCACGATGGTGAATGAGTGGAAAGAAACTCCGTGGCTGGGGCTGCACAGGCTCTTCCTTTAGCGTGGGGAAACTGAGGCCGAGGCCTCCCCAGGCAGAGGGAGTCAGGTGGTGCTGCCCTGGGACTCCAGACTCAGGGTCCTCCCCTGCAGCAGCTTCACCCTCTGGGGCCCATCCCCTGGCAGCCCATGCTACTCATTCCCACTTGCCACCTGCCCATGTGGCACTGTGACTTACCCTGCTTCACGGTGACTTCTCCTCACGCCCAGCAGGTTGGCCCTGGCTTTTTATAACCAGGCTTTATCCTTTGGACTCCTCTGGGGGAAGGCCAGGGCAGGGTAGATAGGGCTCACGTGGGCGCGTTGAACCTTAGTTATCAGAAACACATAGAGCCAGCTCAACCCGGGAGAGGGGCTGGGCATGAAGTAGGATTGGAGGAGAGCAAAACTGACTTTGGGGATGGGAAAGGACCCTATTGATCTGATTTTACAAGTTCAGTTACCAAAAGATTGTTCCAAAATGATAACAGGGGAACATCAGGCTGTGGGGACTTCTTGACCAAATCTCTTCAGACAACAGAGACCCCAGACTCCTCTCGCTTCCTCGTTGCTGTTGACAGACTGTGAAAGGGTGAAGTCTGAGGGCTCACTGTGGAGCGGGAGTGTGTGTCTGTGAAGAYAGGCACCTTGGCTACTTGACAGGGTGGGTGACGAGCAGCCCCCTGGCCCCGGAGTCTGTAAAATGAGGACAGCCCTGAAAACCAAGATTGTTCTCAGGAACAAAAAGAATGCTGTTCACACACAGCCTTGTCTAGGAACTTTTAAAAGTGTTGTGAGTTGTCCCGGTTGTACTTTGACTTTTGAGATTAGAAGTGGAGGTGTTTTCTTTCCCTCACTGTTAAGAGGAAATCCTGGGTGAATAGCCAGGTGCTGCATTGCCACAATTTAAACTGGCATCTATCGCAGATACAGGGAAGTGCATAGATCTTAAAGTTTCAAACTGAGTACAGTTCAATGCACATTGACAATACATGCACCTGGCCCAGATCAAGATTTCCATAGCCAGAAGTTCCTGTCATGACTCTTCTACCACCAGCTCTGTCACCATATGTAATCTGTTTCCTATCCCTAGTTTTGCATGTTCTCAAATTTTATGTAAATGGAGATACCACATGTGCTCTTGAAAGCTTTGCTTTTGTTCACACAAAACATTTTTGAGATTCATCCATGTTGTTACACATATCAGTAGCTTGTTCATTCTTTATTGCTATGCAGAACCAATATATGTCTGTAAAATACTTGGAGAAATTCTTGGAGAAAGAGATTGCAATGTGTGTATCTATTCTACTGTTTGTGGACACGTGGKTTCTTTCCAGTTTGGAGCTCCTATGAATGATACCACTAGGCTCATTTTAATCTAGGACAGGTTTTTAGTAACCCATGCTCTCATGACTCTTGGGCTTATACCCGGGGAAATTATAAGGGCCATGGGGTGCACATGCACTCACTGGCTTTAGCAGATACTGCTGAATAGTTTTCCAGGGCGCTTACACAGTGCCGTCTCCACAAGCAGCTGTTGGCTCGGTGCTCCACATTCCCTAGCTGCCCTCTAATCAGTCCCAGAAGTACAGAGATTGCCAGCAATTTCCTGAGGGTTTCAAGTATAGAACATATGTGTGAGTGGGCGAGTACAGGCCTGTCTGCATGCATATGTGAGAAACCTCCTTCTCAGAATGATGAGGCTGCACCCAACGATGGGGAGCTGGTGGAAGCTAAGGAATAAACCTCCCTCTCTCCAATGGGCTTAAGGAAACCAAGGCTCCARGAACTGATAGAGTGATGAGGAAACCTGCACGGGGTCACCTGAGCCTCAGTGAATGCCACCTGCTTCCCTGGAGGTRTTCAGCAGCAGGGGAGGAGGTCAGGCCTAAGGCTTGACATTAGGGACCCTATGGAGGGAACTGGCATGGCCAACTGGGAAGAATGAACTTAGGCCCTTTTCATGGTACCTGGGACTGCCTGTAGCTTTGGGAAAACATCCTACTTCCTCACTATGGCCTTCAGGGTGCAGTGTTATCAGGATCGGCCTCCTTCCCAGCCACACCTGTGTGTCCTTCCCTTGCTCAAGAAACTCAGGTAGTCCCTTGAAAGTGCCTGTCTCTTTGTAYATTGTTTCTTCTTCCAAAAAATATCAAATAATAATTTTATGTCCATGATTATTTATTTAGATCTTGCCTGGTGGCAGGGTCAAGGCCTGAATAGTCATTGCCATGTTGCCAGAGCCCACAGCACTGGCATATTGTAGGTGATCACTAAATATTTGCTGGCTGTAAGAGTGGAGAGATGAGACTCCATGGATCGGTGAGCTGGTATCTCCCATTTGCCTGAGCTGCCTCTGTCACTGCCTCCCTGGGTGACTTGGCTTTGTCCTTATGGGAGGGTTCAGCCAATGGGAGACGCTGGCCACTCATCAGGTAGGAGCAGGAAGAAGGTGGAGTTCTTACCCATGCTTCCGCCCTCTGTGCTATTTGGGCTGCTTCTCTATTCTCTCCCGGGGCTGCAGCCCTCTCAAGTGCTTCAGTCCTTAGCTCCAGATCTCAGATCCATCACTGCACCCTCCCTTCATGCTTCAGGCCCAAGGAAGAAGGAGCTGCCTCCTGATGCAGCATCACCTTACTGATCGGGTTCTTAGCTCTGTCTACCCCTCTGTAAGCAGCCCTTTTGATGACCCCCTGAGTGACATGACATGAGAGCAGGTGATCCTGTGGTCTGTTTGGGGGGATTAGCTAGGGCTTGGGCACCTCACTTTCCTGATTCTGTACCCTATTTCTACTGAGGACTTCGTCTTTATTAGGATTATTTGTATTATTGGTATTTATTGGATTCGTTGTTTGATGTTTGGTTTGCTCACCCGTCCTCACAGCAGTCAGTCCATTCCGGGACTTGATTGTGGCTTTTGCAAAGGTTTAGTTAAGTGCTTTCAGAAAATCTGCAAGTTCTCTGTCATGCATGCTCGCCTGTTCTTGCCATAGATTCATCAAGAAATCCAGAGAAAGTTTCACCCCTGGGACTAGAGATGCTTTATCTGGTCGACACCACTCAGAGGGCAGAATTAGACAGAAGGAGAAGATTACAGTTCGTTCCTTTAGGTAGAAGTGTTTCTTTTTATTTCTGGGTCACCACCTCTGTTCTGAATGCTAATGGCAAGTCATCATCACCCTGCTCTTGAAGGACGCACGCGGCAGATCTATTCCACTAAGAAAGCACTTTCCAAGGCTGGACTCACTGAAAAATAGAATAGAGCTTTGCTGATGCAGAGTGAGGTTCCTGCCTTACTTGAGTGACATTTTGTCTTGGTAAAAATCAAGCCTCAAGCAGGTGTCCACTTGGGTAATATACTTCCAAGGTCATTTTCAAATCTGGGATCCAGCAGGAAATATTGGAAGCTGCAGGATGCCACCCTTTGATTCAAGAAAATCATCCCAAGGAGCACATCCTTTAAAAAYCACTTTTAAAGAGGAAAAGAAATCACCCAAGAGGCCATGGTGCTCAAGGTAATGTGAAGTGGGCTGAACCAATACATCTGGAGAGCATCGTCTCAAGAACAGGTGTGGGGGCCCATGGAGAGAGCTGAGCATGGGAAAGGAACTAGGTGTTGGTGATGTAAAACTTGACCTCAGAAAGATGGAGACCTGGCTTATTCCCATCTTACAGCTGGAAACCCAGAGGCCCAGAAAAGTGAAGAGGCTTAGTGCAAGGGGCCGTGGAAGAGCCTGGCCTTGATCTCAGGGCTCCAWGACCTCCCAGTGGGCTACTGCTCTCCTCTCACTTCTCAGTCTGCTGACTTGTGCAATGGATGGACTCTAAGCTGATTTAGGAACATGGTCCCTGCACCCAGCTGCCTCCAGAGTGGGCTGGGAACCCCTGCCACAGTCACCAGTGGTTGGTGGAAGACATACTGGGTGCTCTGGAACAGTCCAGAGGCTGCCTGGCTTCTTCCACAGGGTGGCTTAAGGCAGGCCAGCTAGTCCCAGGGACACTCATTTGCCCCCTCTTGTGTGCCCTTGGCAGGGTCAGCTCAGCCACAGTGGGAAGGAAGTGAAGGCCAGCACCTGTGGGAAAACTCACTTGCCAACCACATGGCCGACAGGCAGCAGGGCCAGCTGGTGAGCCCTGCCAGTTGGCACAGCAGCTGCCCAGGGCTGGGGTGACTTGGGGCCTCCTTCTCTTGCACCTGAGGCCCGTTTAAACACACTTGTCCTGCATTTGTCCCACATCTGTCCCCTCCCTTCATTCCTGTTGCCCTTGCCCTTGTTTGGCTGGCAGCACCTGGCTCTAGGCCCTGCGTGTCCTGCTCCTGGGCCACTGCATTTCCTGACCTCCTAAGTTCCTCCTCAGTTTTAATGCCGTCGGTGGCTCCCCGCTGTCTTTGGATGCGTGATTCTCACGGGGGCTGCGCAGGCCTGTCCATTCTCCCGTGGCTGCAGTGTGTTGGTGTCCTTCTGTGCTCTATATAATGTGGCTCTTAAATGTCCTCCAGAGGTCCATGTGTTGAAGGTTTGGTGTCCAGCTTGTGGCACTGTTAGGAGGATGAGGAGCCTTTAGGAACTGGGGCCCAGTGGGAGGAAGTTAGGTCACTGGGATGTGCCCTTGAAGGGGACGTTGGGACCTGGCCCCTTTCTGTTTCTCTTTTTCACTTCCAGGTCTCTATGAGTTGAACAGGCCTCCTCTGCCACGTGCTCCTGCCATGATGTGCTGGGCCACCACAGGCCCAAGCAACCATGCWCTGCACCCTGTGGAACAGAGGGCCCTGTGGAACCTGGGTTTTATGTTAATACACTGAAGAGTAATCTGTGCTACGCAAGGTGGACAGAAAGAGATGATCAAAGCATGATTTCACGAACCCCAC